ATTTCGTGCCATTAATCACCACACACTGCTTGCGGTCATGTAGAAAGTCTTCTATCCACGCTAGGACATTTCCCCGAATTCCGTACCCTTCCAGTTTGATCTTCAGCCTTTTGTGGGGGTATACTGTCGAAAGCCTTGGCAAAATCTAGTAGTCGGCTGAAAATATGGTTTGACCCAAAAAAAAATTAAAAAATTCCTACAAAAGGTTTCTCAACTGTTTATTGTAATATCAGGTGTGCTTAATAACATATCAAAAATCTACCACAGTCTGACCACGAGAAAAGTCTAATTTTCAAGATGGCGTCGAAGTTAGTCACCAGATCCTTAAAATGCCCGTTACTCCTTCATTATTCATCCTAGACAAGTAATTTTGGTGCCTAACCCCATGTTTTGGGGATGTAGGAATCCAATTAGCATACCTAAATTATAGTGAAGTTATTACAGAATTACAAAATCCAAGATGGCAGGCAAATATGGCCACCAAACTATGAAAATGCCAATGACTCCATCATTATTCATCCTAGACAGGTAATTCTGGTGCCTGACCCCTTGTTTTGGGCATCTAGGAAACCAATTAGCATATTTAACATAGTGTAGTGATCACTGGTAAAAAGTTATAACAAACCCCATAGTATATATTTCTGAAAAATGCCTTTCATGTGAACCAGGTTTACAAATAGTCAGTCACACTCTTCCTCCTGTAAAGGTTTATTATGTGGATTCTCACAGTTTTCAATTTGACATGGTCCACAAGCGGGTGTGCATGGTAGTCAGTATCCTCTGCAACTACAACGTGTTCGGCAGGCAGTTGTGCAATTACAGTGGACCATCTGCAGGAGGCTTTCTGGCACAGCAGTTTTCTTGGTCATAACTGGCACAAACTGATTGTCCTCCAGTTTCCATCCCCAATCCACTGCATTCATGTCACTCTCCTTTCCAGTCCACACCATGATCTGGTAATACACTCTAAAGCTATGATATTTAGTCGAGGACTTGGTAGGAGGGAGACGTTCTGGGGTAACAAATGACTTGGCGGAGACAATTTTCTTGATCAAAGGTTGTAGCACAAAGAGGCAAGTGAATCGGTACTCTTGCCACCAAACAGAACTGCCATCGCCTTGCTCCCAAGGTCCTCTATGACACTGTTTGCTTGATTTGGGAGCAAAAACGCATTCACACAGGTCTGAATGGTCAATTCACCATTCACAAGTTTCTGTAAAGCTGACTTTTTGCCAACACTGAAAATGTGGGAAGTTGTGTCACATCCTGTGAAAGTGTGGATAAACAGCAACTGAGAACACATGTCACTAACCAGGAGTTGCTTCATCTCACTGATGTTGTACACCTTAGGAACTGTGGACTTGTCCGAACGAAAATAGAGGCCCCTATTGTTTGCTTCAGCATAGTAGAGGAGAAGAATGAGCAGGTCTGTATTCTCCCCTATCAAGGTCGTGAGCTGATGTTGTGACGCCTTGATTGCAGCCTTGACAATGTCCATGTCTGAATCCCCTAATGCATTGATAACAGTGCAGCTCTTCTTCTGTAGTTCCTCAGTTACAAGATCAGTAAATCCTTGTTTGTTGCAAGATATGGAAAGGAAATCATCCTTTCTTCCAACAAACTCAGTTTTTGCATTGAAGCTGATGATCGGGCGGGTGTTTTGCCCACGTCGCTGATGCGTATTGTCTTTGATGGAAGGACCTTCACTATAGCCATCAAAAACTACGGTTGCTTTTCCATAATGGCGTATGGTAAAGTCAGCATACATCCGTGCAATGGCACCATAACTGGCACCCTTTTTCCATGGCAAGCGATGAACCAGGGAACCACCGTCAAGGACATAATGTTCAGTTAGTGGGATAGAATCCATGACAGCTTCTTTTGATTTCTTGCTTGAATACTCAGCAACTGCATGTGCCAGTTGGGGCTTGTCAGCTTTACGAAAGATTTCCTTGGCTTCAAACAGGGCTGTAGGGAATGGGCTGAGCTCATAGCTCATTACATCTCCCAGTGAAAGGTCTCGGGTTTTTGACAGAACCAGAAATCTTTGGAACAGCAGAGCAGGATCAATGGTTCGGCCTTGGGCAAATTTGATGGTGGACTCACGTGCGAGGGTTTTTGCCCGGTCTTTCCGTTTGAATGAGATCCCCAAAACAGGTTTTCCAACCATTTTTTCAATAATCTCATTCCCAACAGTCTCATACTCATGCACATTCACATCCTCTATGGCAACTAAACCAGTAATGATGTTTCTCAGAGATAGGTCTGGAGAAAATGGCATGCATGTGGACAGTTTTCCTTGATCTTTTCCAGGTCAGAGTGATCTCGTTTCATCCTTGCTTCTGTTGATTCTCGGTGTTGCTCGCTGGTCGTGTAGGTGAGGTCATTGAATTCCTGCATGGCATTGTTGTATTCAGATGTGATGGGTATGGACATGGTCCATAATGCGCGCATTTCATCAGTCATTCCACTTCTCTGGGATGAATAATGAAGGAGTAACAAGCATTTATAGGATTTGGTGGCTATTCGACGCCATCTTGAAAATTAGACCTTTCTCGTGGTCAGACTGGTAGACTTTTGATATGTTATTAAGCACACCTGATACTACAATAAACAGTTGAGAAGCCTTTTGTAGGAATTTTTTTTAGGGTAAGGTGGGTTTTTTCCATAAATGCAGCCGCCTATAGGTAAATATTGTCCATATTACCACCCCAATCCAGAATATGGGTCCAAATATCCAATACCTTGAGCAATTGTGCTAAGCAGGAGCGCCCTGGCATAAAACCGTGTTGGCGATCTTTTACAAGGTTGTTTCTGTAGTGATGGGTTGTCAGACCACAGCTTACATCTCAGAAACAGTCCAGACCTCACCCAACATTAGGGGGGTCAAGTGTAAGGGTACCCCTCGCGGCCACTCAAGGGTGTTACAAATCAACCAGTTCCCCTCCACATGTCACAAGGCCCCAACAAACATGTAAGAAGGCACCTGCCGACTCTCTCCCAATATACACAATAACCTACATCGCAGAAGAAGTCCAGACCTGACCTCACATTAGCCAGGTCAAATGTAATCCTCGCAGCCCAAGTCAAGGGGCCACAAATCAACCAGAGCCTCTCATGTCACACGGCCCCACCAACGATGTTAACAGGCAGGCATTCATCAGAAGATTCCTCTAATGTATACAACAAATTTAGTCTCAGAAAAAGTCCAGACCTGACCCTATATTAGCGAGGTCAAATGTAAGGAGACCCTTCACCGCCTCGATCAGCTCAACCTGACGCCTCCCAATATATAGGACGTCGTAACCCTCCCTCACCAGAGGCAGAGAGAGAGAGAGAGAGAGTGTGTCTTGTAACCAAGAAGGGCCAGCAACGTCCCGAGTCCCGCTCGAGAGAAGTCAGACAGAGAGGGCCGGAGGCCAGGGCCTCCGGTCGGGAGCGGGTTGCCCTCGACACACCGGTGCCCAGCTAAGCAGTCTCCCATAGAGACAACCCAGAACCACCTGCTAGGCCTCCCCCAGGTCACGTGAGTTTTTGTCGGAGCTTTCCGTGGGATGAGTTACTTAAGTGGGAAGTGTATTCATTTCATGTTCGTGTCCGAGAATCAGTGTCTAGTAAAGTAATATGATGTCCTAGTAACGTAAATATAATGTCCTAGTAACTTCGATAGAAGGTGTTATTAATGTGTCCATGTCATTGTCGTAATTAATAAACAGTTGTAACGAAGCGGTGTTTGAGAAGTCGTCCTTAAGAACGTAATAGATGTGTATTGACGTATAAGATAAGTTAAGTGTATTGACAGAGTAAATAACTAACACGGCCACGCTACCAAAATCTTCCCCTCTTTTACTCTCTTACTAAATATTCTTCCTATATATATATAAATATTCTTCATGCAAGATCCGTCTTGTTACATTTCGTATTAGATGTTCCATTGTGGCATCTCTGATAATACTCTCAAGTACTTTACATATTATGCTGGTCAGGCTCACCGGTCTATAGTTGTTCGTGGAGTGACGATCGCCCTTCTTGAAGATAGGACTCATATAAGCCACTTTCCATTCACTGGGGACTACATTAAAGGTAAGTGCACAGTAACACTTTATTCATTTTTCATTATTAATTACTTTTACTGTATTTCATTTTAGATTTTCTATGTATTATTTTTTGCATTTTCGACTTACGACCTGGATTTGGGTTCCTAACCCCGTCGTAAGTCGTTGACTGCCTTTATGAAAATTCATGTTTGATCTAAAACGAGTCTGGACCTCCAGATATTTTGGTTCAGTTTTATATATGAGAACTGATATAGTTACTAAGTGCAAAAAAGTGGATACACACACAATCTTAATATGTTGGCAATCTTGCCATTACAGATGCAGTGTCGTTTCCAATTTTGTGTTTCATATCATGATATTAGTGTGTAGAAAAATTTCTCCCAATTATGACAATTCCTTCTGGTGGTAGCCATTGTCTACACTTTTACCTTATTCAGTTTAGCACATCTTCAATTCGCATAGAAGCACTTACCTTTAGGGAATTTCTACCTCATACAGTGGGGTATGCTATAACGAACGGATCCTACTACGAATATTCCTATAACGAACGGTTTTACCTATAAAATTGAGAATGCTATAACGAACGAAACTCCTACAACGAACATTATTTAATTTTTTTTTTTTTTCTAATTTATTGTTTTTTTATTACAAATATTAATGATATTCTTTATTTCAGGGGTTTAGATGCATATTTATGCACTTTCTTACAATTTTTACAATTTTATATTATATTTTTCAGTATTAAGTGGTTGTATTTGGGGGCCTGGAACGGATTAATCCTATAACGAACGAATGCTATAACGAACAAGGTTCTAGAACCAATTAGATTCATTATAGCATACCCCACTGTATATACATTCCTCAACCCTTGAAGCCTCTTGGAAATGTGTTTCTGTCAGAAAAAACACACCTAAGAAATTAGATCAATAAATCTCCACTCACCATTTCTTGTCCCACCGCGAGCTGTCTGGAGCCGTGAGGCGTGTCACTGCCTGCTCCGCTCCCTTCCCGGACCTCACGAACGCTTGGTTAGGGCCCCCCGCGGGGGTTAGGGGAGGTTAGGTTTGGTTAGGTTAAGGTAGGTTAATTTAGTGAAAGTTAGGGGTCTAGATGTTTGGTGTCTGTTTTTTTGGACATCACCTTCGTTTTTGATGGAAAATAGCTGTTTTTTATCAAGGATGACTAGCATCTTTTCTTTTTAAACGACACATTGCCCATGGAAATGAAGGTCAGATCTGAACATAACACATCAAAATATATCAGAAATCAAACATCTCATGGAAAAATTCGAGGGTGTGCTAAAACAAATAATTACCCAAGATATTTCTGGTGCTAACCATCTGCTCCACCTTTACCAATCTATTTACCTTTCCATCACGAGGTCAAACAGCAGTGACAATCCACAATCAAACTGGAGACCCTCTGGACCAGCCACCATAACATACTGTATATGTAAGGATACACCCCATATAGTCACCAATCCACTTCGTCACCGACTAGGTTCATTAACAAAATCCCATTTCGTTACCAAAATCAAATCCGTTTCAGCACCACAAACAGTCACTGGTATTATTGACAATTTGTAAGTTATTTAAACGAATAGAAATTACACATGTATACAGACGACTCGATTAGTATTGTGTTATTATACATGAATATTATTTATTTAATAAATAAAATTATTAAAACATTGGTAAATAAACAAAATACAGAACAAATGAAGGTGTCAGGTTATTTGCCACCAGCTCATAAGGCACTGAGCAGTGAGATGATTACAGGCCTATTAACAATGTTTTTATTATTTATTTTCATCTTTAATAAATTGTCTTAGTGTTTTTTACTATTTCGTATCCCAAGCAACAGTTATTTTCACGTATACAGTATATTGATGGGAGTGAACACAGTGACGGAACGGGTAAAGCAGTGGTTAGGAAACCGGTTAAAAATAGTGGTATTTTTGCGTTTACACACCGCACATTCCTACCACTAATCTATTATCATATTCTAATAATACGTCTAATTATAAGATAATTTTCATTTATTACATTACTGGCGGAAATGTATAATAACGGAGATAGCATATCCAAAATTTTCTCTATTTTCTTCCATTAATCTTCCGCCATTATCGCCTGCCTCACCTCCAACGCTGCGTCTCCTTCATAAATCATCACGTTTTTTTGTTTTTGCAACTAATTAAAATGATTTTGGGTTTAATTCGCGGTATATTTGGCCTAATCAAATTCGAGTTTTATTTTGGGTCTCACATATTTCGAAATTCAAGTTCAGTTCCGACCATGGAAGTCTGCGATGAGTGTCATTTACATTATATGGAGCTGATTGCGAGTTTTAGGGGAAAAAACGAAGAAACTATAGCATTTTTTCAATCGCATGGTGTTCTTCCAACCTCAGTAAAGTGTACTAAGAGCAAGACTGAATGTAAATATCGCAAAGACCAACATATGTGGCATTGTGTAAGAATCTCAGAATCCAACGACGAACAAGAACCAGGCCAATAAGGTAAGAAATAGCTGATTCCATCATATGGTGAGAGTCAGTTAGGTTAGGTTAGGTTAAGTTAGGTTAGGTTTGGTTTTTGTTTTTCTAATGTTTTTTGGTGTATTTTGCCATGATTTTTTTTTTTCGGAAAACGTCCAACGAAAAAAAACTCGATAAAAAAACGGCTAGTTTCCGCCAGAAATGAAGGTCATATTCGGTCTAATCACACACAAATACACTAGAAAAATATATTTTTTACTTTCTAATAGTGCGGTGTGACAGAGCAAATTTACCAAAATAGTGGTGACGAAACGGATTAGTGACGATATGGCCAGACCTCATATGTAACACAGGAATGACACTACACTGCCAACTTTACCAAGCTTGATGTACCATGGCAGTGGATATTTTATGTATCATACTTACAGGTTACTTAGGTCTAATGTTGTTGCTAAAACTTATTTAGTTAATCACACTTACAAGTTATAATTCAGGGAGATGATAATTTTTTCGGGTAAACATCAGTCAACAGCCTCGGGACCTCAGGCTACTGCTCTGGTGGCTGTTGGTCTTGACCGATCTTTGGCAGTCTGATGATGATGACATGGAGAATATAAAGTTAGGAAGTGGATTTGATAGCAGGTGGGCTGGGGACTTTGATCCTCCCGCAACCAAGGAAGATGCAGAGAGGAACTAGTTCTTCTGAGGACTCTCACTGAGTACAACTTGATCCCATTCCCTACTCCCTAGTAATGAAGATATTCCCCTATACTCCTTGTCTCCTACAGATGTCTCTATCGTCAGTAGAGCGTCGTCTGCTCGTTCACCTTAGTGACGTCACGACACACGTGTAGTATCATGAGGATGGTCCCTGGCGGTGGGGTCACATAAGAATGGAGGAAACTGCAGCGGGCCTATTGGCCCATACTGGGCAGTCCCGTTTACACCCAACCCCTATTGCTCATATATCCAACCTATGTTTGAAGCTATCCAGCGTATCGGGTTAATGATGATATTTGGTAACTTGTTCCATTCATCCACTACTCTATTTCCAAACCAATGTTTACCTATTTCGCGCCTAAATCTAAATTTGTCTAATTAAAAACCATTGTTACGAGTTTGCTCCTGGTTGGATAGTTTGAGTACCTTTGTAATGTCCCCTTTGTTCAGCCCTGACTTCCATTTATACACCTCGATCACATCGCCCCTCACTACGTCTCTCGAGGGAGTGCAAATTAAGAAGCCTTAACCTGTCTCTGTACTCAAGGTTCCCAATGCCCGGGATCAGTCTTGTCATTCTCCTCTTAATTCTTTCCAAGGATTCTACATCCATTTTGTAATTCGGTGACCAGAATTGAACTGCGTAATCCAAGTGTGGTCTCACAAGGGCAAGATATAGTTTTAAGATGACCTTGCTAGTCTTGTAACACTCCTTTGTATGAACCCAAGTACTCTATTAGCCTTGTTTCGAGCAAATACACATTGTTTACTTGACTTAAGATTCCTACTTATCATTACTCCTAAATCTTTCTCGCAGTCGGATTTCTCAATAATTTGTTTTTACTTGTATCCTCTTCGCCACTGATCCGTCACGTCTCTGATTACTTTTCCTTTTCATTTATCTTCTTCACCAAAAGATCGGCTCGCTAGCCGCCCGGGCTCGAGGAAATGCTAAATCAAGCCCTCAGAATTAACCTAGGATGTCCCACGAGCACAAAAGTACTTAATTTGAGGAAAGAACTAGGTATACCCAGTGTTAAAGATAGAATAATTGAAGTCAAACTCATGATAGCCCTGAGACTTCTGCGTGGTGATCCTGAAAACATTGTTTCCTTAAAATTGCTAGAAAGTATGAACCATGGGACTGGTGAGTCTAAATGGATCCAAACTACAGCTTCACATGAAGTTGTTTGGACTAGCCCACCTGTACATAGTTGAGACACAACAGCGCTTCCTGCCACCCTGGCGGACAGTTCCCTTCGATATCACAATACCGACATATCCGCCTAAAAAATAAATTATACAAAATATTAATCTACAACACACTGCCAAAGTGAGAGCTCTTGAACACATACACACCCTACAGACTGATAATAATATCACACAGACCATCTACACTGATGGATCTCTTAACACCGCCTGTGGGAGGGCTGGAAGTGCTATTGTTGTGACTCAACCTGACAGTAATATAATTGAGAAAGGATTTAAAATTAACAACTGGGCATCCACTCTACAAAATAAATTAGTTGTCATACTCACAGCTATTAAATTCATTGAAGCCACTGTCACTGACAGTCTCATCATCACTGACTCTCTCTCCTCACTACTTGCCCTTGACACCCTCAACTCAAGTTGTCACGCTCTCGTCTCTGAAGCCAGACACAAATATGCGTACCTTGTTGACCGGGGTGTCAGGGTCAAACTGTTGTGGATCCCCTCTCACATAGGCCTCATAAAACATGACAGAGGTGATGCCCTCGCCAAACTCGCGTCTAACAAAGACACCGTTGAATACAATTTGGGTCTGTCAAAAAGAACCCTTAAAACTGTAATTAGGAAAGAACTTATTGATGAGTTTGACGTAAGTAGGCAAGTGAAAACAGGCACTAGTCGATCCATAGTTTACCATGATGAGATGTATCAAGTGAAACATGTATATGGAGCAAGTAACAAGATCACTAGATTACAAGATGTTGTAACCGCTAGATTAAGGTTAGGATATAAGTACCTCTGGCAGTATGTTCCTCAAGCAGATGTAAACAAGACTAAATGTAAAGTATGTGGCCAGACATATGGCCACACACTTGAACACTACGTCCTCGACTGTGTGAAGATAGAACCTTTTAGGGACAGGTCTAAGCACACTGTGTGAAATGGCACAACACTTCATCTCTAATGGCAAGATAGCCGACATATTAAGATTGTATCCAATTTTTTGCACTTAGTAACTATATCAGTTCTCGTGTACAGAAAAAATACACAATGTGCTTGAATACTTCTCAAGCAAATGTGAATAACAAAGTGTGCGGCAAGACATACTGCCTCACGCCTGTACTCACGCATTTGTGAATAAGTTACCCTTTATGAATAGAACTAAAAAAAATGTAATTGAAATACTGTGTAACATTCAGTACCATAATATCCTGACAACGGGGGTTAATTATTATGACCCTTTGTAAACCCTACTCTGTAACACTTTTGCGCTGCCGCTCAGAGGATGGGTGTGGGGCGCACAATAAAGTAGCCGCTACAAGCGGCAAAATTAAATCAAAATCAATCACCTTAACAACCACCATCACCACCACTATCACACACCTTAACTACCACCATAACCACCACCAATACACATCTTAACTACCACCAACACCACCACCGTCAGACACCTTATATGCCACCATAACCACCACCACACTCCTAACTACCACCATCACACACCTTAACTACCACCATCCCCACCACCGTCACACACCTTAACTACTACCATCCCCACCACCATCACACACCTTAACAACCACTATCACCACCACAATCACACACCTTAACTACCACCATCACCACCATCACACACCTTAACTACTACCATCACACACCTTAACTACCACCATCCCCACCACCGTCACAAACCTTAACTACTACCATCCCCACCACCATCACACACCTTAACTACCACTATCACACACCTTAACAACCACCATCACCACCACTATCACACACTAACAACCACCATCACCACCACTATCACACCTTAACTACCACCATCACACACCTTAACTACCACTATCACACACTTTAACTACCACCATCACACACCTTAACTACCACTATCACATACCTTAACTACCACCATCACACACCTTAGCTACCACCATCCCCACCACCGTCACACACCTTAACTACCACCATCACCACCACCGTCACACACCTTAACTACTACCATCACACACCATAACTACCACCATCACCACCACTATCACAAACGTCATGTTGGACGAGAATATATAAAACTCAGGGCTAGATTCAGGAGGGTGGGTAAGGGTTACAAACAAATAAGAACACCTCAAATGCTACAATTGTATCAAGCCTTCCTTGCTGCCGCCAGGGAACGTGTAAACGAACTCAGACAAAATGC